AAAGTGTGGAGGCTCTCTCGCTGACTTGCACAACGCACGTGGTTTCGAGTCGTAAAAAAATACATTGTACTTTGACCTTTTACATGTGCCGTCGTGTTCAAGTATTTTTAAGGTGAAAACTACTTATTTTTATTATTTTTATTCCATTTTTATTATTTTGATTTGATTTGTATTATTTGTATTATTTTTGTATTTGATTTTTATCATTTTGGTTTTTTGTCAAGGTTCCGGGTGGGTTCCGGGTAGGTTCCGGGGGGGTTCCGGCTAGTTCCGGGGCGGTTACGGGTGGGTCCGAGTTGTTCCGGCAGGTTCCAGTAGATTCCGGGTGGGTTCCTCGTTTTACATTCACCCGCCATTGCATCGACATCGCAAGAAACTGGAGATGTAGAAGCTGTCAAAACGTCTGTCATCTCGTGCTACGACACCGTTCGAGAGACACTTCCAACACTTTTGGTTTACTGAATAGTGAGATGGTTAGAGTATCGGCTTTACTCGCTACAAACATTCGTAAAATCAGAAAATTCAAGACACAAAATCTTCACACGAGACCTTAGACTTTTATTTTTATGGCCAGAATTTGTTACGGTTAACAATTTTTTACGGCTAACGGTTAATTTTTTTCAATTTTACGGCTAACAGCTAGATTTTTGGCCGTTTTACGGCTAACGATTAACCCCATTGAGACACTCTTACCATACATGTTTTTGGTGTCTCAATACAGTTTTTTCTAGARCATACCAAGCATATGAAAATTACACCAGGAATTGGAAATATATAGATTGACGTTTGGTATAGTGTATTTCTTAAGGCAATTGATATTTCCATGGAAACGATAAGCAAAAAACTGAGAATCGGTTGAACATGAATTCTGCGCGAATCAGATGTGTAATGAAAAAGCTGATACAAATCTGGATGTTTGACTTCTAGTAAATCGCAAAAATATTTCATGATCAATAGCAGGACAGAAGCATTAAAAACTTGACAGGAAAGGCATTGAAGTCAGGCAACTTTTCCCACTGGAGACGGCATGCTTTTAATTTAGTGTGGAGGCGCGGTGGCCTCATGGTTAGCGCGTTCGTCTCCGGATCGAGCGGTCCGGGTTCGAGCCCTAGCCAGGGGACACCGTGTTGTGTTCTTGGGTAAGACACTAAACTCTCACAGTGCCTCTCTCCACCCAGGAGTATAAATGGGTACCAGCGAATTGTTGGGGAAACCTAACAAATTGCGGGGGAGTGACCTGCGATGGACAAGCATCCCGTCCAGGGGGAGTAGAAATACTCCTAGCTCAGTTTTCAGTGTTAGTTCAGTTTTATTATCGCGCACTATTGACAGAAAAACAACTTAACGTAAGATGGTTTACAATGATATAGGAAAAATAAATACAGATAGAAATTAACTACAAGAAACAATATTTAATTGTGTACAGTGACCAAAGTAGCCAATGAGCTTTCGAGTTGGTCACTGTCATGTAGATATAAGTTGGCGTTGGCCGCATGCTAAGTTAATTTAAACATTAAACATTAAAGACGCGTCATGCTACAGAAACTGGGATAAGCTCCGGCAGCAGTCGGCTCCAAGGCTTCACACTTTTGGCGCCAAAAATCTCGCTATGAAGGATAATAGTTGTCTTATTTTAAACAAAATCTAGTTGTTCCCCCTCAATTTAACCCATAATTTTCGAGTTAACAATTAGGAGAGGCCAAAGAAACTTTGGGATCGTAGAACAGCTCTAGTGGGTGACTGTATAGTGACCGCCGCTCGCACTGCGGGCACAGCCACCGTATGCAAGGTTGAACATATCAGCCGCTCCTAAAATATCAATTTTAAAAGACTGCGTCCAGCCAGCTTTGATTATGACCATCTTCGC